GGAATGCTCTTAACATCCCGATAGCAATGAATATAGTTAAGTGCTTTGAACAAAAAATCCATGAAAAAAATGTCATCTTTGGAAGCCGTAGTACTGTAAAAAGCACAAACAACAATCGGCAACAAAATGTAGTAGAGTAAAACTATAGTGTAGCAAAATGAGAAATACTCAAGTAAAGTATAATTATAGTGTACATTTTTTTTTGAAGTACTTTGACCAGGCACCAATGGGCACCGTGTTGGCTTCCCCTGATATCTATTTTATCACTGGATCATAATTAGTGATGCATAAATGTGTTTATTTTATTTTAGCAAATTGTAAAGAACGAGATACATTTAATTACTTTTTATAATGTCAGGTATCGTCATCCATAATAGTACATTACAGTTCATTAGTCTATTTAATTGTTGTTATTAATTAAATAAACCTTCGAAAATAACAAGTAACTCATCTTGTCAAATAAATAAAAAGTAGCATACAATGCTTCAAAATGGTAATGGAGTAGAAGTATGAAGTAGCATAAAATGACAATACTCAAGTAGTTGTGTACCTCATAATGTACTCAATTACAGTACTTGAGTACAGTTCCTTTCCCACACTGCATTAAACTAGGTCAATATTCAAGATTCAAGGCTTTTATTGTCATGTGTACATAGCTACAGTGTAGATATATCAATGAAAATGTTAGGTCACAGGCTCCTCCAACAGTGCAACACCATAAAACAGATACAATGGTTCAAATAGTGCACTTTTTGTAGAGATAGCCACGACTATAGCCCCTCCTCGCCTACACAGGACTGAAGTTTGCACCCACTTTGCGTCCAGCTATCTGTAGGCGGGTCTTCTCGGGCTGTCAGTCATATTTTAGTCCAATCCAAATCTCTCTGTGGGGTTTGTTCACGCCCCCTTCCACGTCGACCTGCACACTCGCCATATTTCCAATCGTCTGAAGCCCTCAGCCCGGTTTGCTGCCACATTCTGGAGGAGAAGCTTTCACACAAAACTGCACTAAGTTAAAAAACCTACTTCAAAGGATACAAGGGGACATCTGTGTTTGCTGGAGTCTGTTAATTCATTCTGCAACCATGAACATCTTCAGACTGACAGGGGACCTCTCTCATCTGGCTGCTATCATCATCCTGCTACTCAAAATATGGAAAAGCAGGTCGTGTGCAGGTAAGATATATATTGTATAACATATGCTACATATTGTATAACATATGCTACAATGTTTTTCCCTGATTTCCCTTGCCTTTCTTTGAATGACTGAAACAAGTAGCTTTCTCTCTTCTTGCCCTGTAAGCTCCAAGCTAGCTAACGTTAGCTACATGCTTACGTTTACAACCCATTCATTTGAGTCTACGGCTAACATCGTTAGCAGTCAATGGGCTAAACTTTACTGGGCTAAGGTAATCACTAAAGTGCCTGCTGTTTAGTAGATGAAGGATCAAAGCAATACAGCGTTTAACTTGTGTTTTGGGGGATATTTCTTCAATTTCACTAGTCTGTTTAGCTTTCTCTACTTCTGTTGTCTAAACATAACACATCCATTACTCCTGCTCGGTTAATTTGAAGTTTGGTGCTCGATTCTTCTAGTCTGGCATCTGACGTGGCGTTCTAAAGGCGCTACGGAAGTGACTAACGTGCCAGTTTAGTTTGTGTTACTCTGTCATTTACACTTTTCTCTGGGTCTCTTAACTGTATATATTAATTGTTAAAAAATACATTTCTGGTGTGCAGTCCACAGCGGTGGATCGTACCTTTTTAATTATGAGGAGACGTGTTGTGACTGGCCTCCTGCAAAGCTGCTGGGTTGACTAAAGGTTCTAAGTTACTGGAGGTTATGTCAGGTGGTCACAATCATGGTCACAACTCAGAGTTTGTAGTGTTTATGTATAGTCTAGGCAGGGTAAGATATCACGTAGTTGTATCTTCATATACGATTTTACTTAATATTACAAGGTGGGGGTAATAATCAAGTACATTTACTCAAGAACTGTAGCTGCACATATTGCTGTTCAGTCAGTGCTTTTCATCTTTTTTAAATCTATATAGAAGTTTATTTGTGATTTTTTTTAATACAAAAATGTAAACTATCTGAAAAAAATGAAAGCATTAGTTATGTTGTTAGATATTAAATGCATTATAATTCTCTGCATCATAAATAATGATTTAATAATATCATATAATAATGGAACAACCAAAGAGCCCATTTGGCTGCATGCTGCTGTATGTGACTCACACAGAGAGAAGAAGAAAAGAGACAGAGATCCTAAGCAAGGATAAAGCTGATATTGCTGACAACACATGATGTGAAAAGTGTAAGCAAATATTGAGAAAACACTTCATAGTAAAGCCACCAGGTTTGAACCAAGGTCCTTTTTGTTTAAGGTGACAAACAGTGCAAACCAACACACCACCCTGTGTGGATCTGTATGCATCTTACAGCACTTGAAGCTTATTTGCAACGTAAAATATTATAATATTTAACCATGTCAGGGCTCGACATTATAAATGGCCCGCTGGCCCGGAAGCACTATTTAGACACCCCGGGCCAGCATAACGTACTTTCCACTTGCCCGCTCGGGCCACTAAAAATATTGCTTTAAAAAAAAAAATGGTCCTGTGGTATTGGTATTTTGACTAGCAATTTAGTTAAATTGTTTCGTTTATTAACGCTACAACATAGCGTTTCGTGAGGCGGTTGTCGTTGTTGGGTGAAAAGCAAACAGCTGTTTGCTGCGGAGCGCAGCGCGAGCAGGCTCCCGTGAGCGGGAGCGCGCTCCTTCTTCACTCCAGACTATCGCGCCACCTAACCATTCAACAAAATGTTTTTAATACCAGCGGTAACCGGAGGAGTTAAAGGAGAGTGACAGGGATTATGAGAAGAAGAGGGAGAGAAGGTTTTAGCCACACTGAAACGCTTCCTAAAACCATTTTATAATCTATCGATTAGATTTATGATTTGAAAATTATAAAAGTAGGGTAACAAAACGTGGAGATTATCCGGCTGAACAAAACGTGCATTTATCAAACAGGTTTGTTTTCCACAGACCTTATTTCCAGCTATTTTCCAAAACCCTGTGGAGAAATCCCATTGC